TAATAAAATGGCCCTTAAAAAAATAAGGAAAGGAAAAAGGGGTACCAGGAAACATGCAATACGGAAGTACCAGGTAAAAACTGGTATATACGGGGAGAAAACCAGGTAAATAAATGGTTATATACGGGGAGTACCGGGGTAAAAAAATGGCTATAAAAGGGAGTACCAGGTAATAACATGGCTATATACGGGCCCAGTAAAAAAACATGGCTTATCGAGAATAAAAAGAAAACCAGGCAAAACAACCTCCCATATACAGAGGGAAAACCATCCCCGAGTCAATGGAGGGGTAGGATTTAGTTGAGTTTGATATATACAACCCCTCAAAACGGACGGAGTACGCCGGGGCCCCCTGTTGTTGGGCCAAAGGGAGGGACCTCCCGCACCTCAGACTCCTGGAGGGGACCCAGCCCCATCGCCTGGGGGACATGGAAAAGGGGGGGTTTTAATACGGGTAATCGGGAGGGACGCAACCTTACGAAACCCTTGTTTATTTCCCCTTAAGGATTTGAACAGCCCCCAAAACCCGGGGGTCAGCTTTGGCAGGGCGGGCAGAGGGGCAGGTTCCGGGTCGAGACCCAGACCCGATCACCCGGTACAAAGAGGGGCCTCACTCGGTGGTGGTCAGCTTTGGGCCTTTGGCGAGCACAGCCGCGGAGGGGGGACACTTTCCCAGTCTCTTTCTGCGATTTGAAAAGCAAATCCCTAGGACCCCGGGTCTGGTCTGATGCCACGGTGCCAAAACCCCGGCGGATACCTAAAAACATAGAAATGGTGCAGGTTAGTGGAGGGTGGCGGAGAGGGGTTTGGGATTTCGTCCCATGCAAGAACACCCCACTCCCCCGGCCGGCCCCTGGCATAGGACTCAGGAATACCCACCCCTTTACACGTTCCACTGCCCTTATTTTCCGGGTGGAACCCAGAGGTCGGCTGACCCGGCCCCAGATGTTCCATAGGCCTTCCAGCCCAGACAAAACGGGGGACCCCCCGGCAGACACAGCCCTCTGGCACCCCCCCGAGGCCGGAAGGTTTAATAAACAATTTTTTCAGCAGTTTGAGTCCGTGGGGGGGACCGGGAAAGAGGAAAGGGAGGGGGGGGGGCGGGGCTTTTAGAAAAAAGCGGCCCACAAGACCAGGATGGTGGTGTTACCCTGAGAGAGGGGGAAAAATGGGGTTGGAAAACCCCCGAATTTTTGGGCCAGGCCATTGTGGAACGGGAAGGGATGAAATTTCCCGGGGGAAAGGGCCCAGGTGCCTTTCGGGCGCACACCCGGGGAGAAGAAAAAAACACCCTCACGTCCTTTGCCAAGGTAGGCCCCCAGTACCCTTTCCCGGTAGGCAAAGGCAGTACCTGATGCCTGGGGACTAGAGGGTGGGGACATGTGTGCCCAAAATTTTAAAACGATCACGACATAGACGAACCCCGTAAATGAAGCCGCTGGGCACTGAAGTGGAGATGGTCTGTGGTAAAGCTCCTTATGTCCCGTTTTACCCCCCCCACCCACCGGCGCCACAATGAGGGGCCCGGGGGTAGGGAGTTTTTTTCAAGGGCCCCCTCCCTGTTCGTACATCCCGCAGTGGGTCTGCCTTCCTTCTTTAAGCCGGTATATGGAAAGTTGAAATCAAAAAGTTTTTAAGAAAAAGGCCCCCCTGGCCCGGCGAGGGTTTTAGCCCCCCTCTTGCCCGGATGTACCAGGTTTGGTGGTCAGTCCGACGGGGGGGGGAAAAGGGGGTTTAGCCCCCCCGGCCCGTCCCCCGCTGTCCGGGCTCTGACAACGAACAGCTCCCCAAACACCAACGAATAGGTCTGCTCCGCCGGTCTTAGCTTTTAGTGAAGAAGGAACGGGGCGGGGCTTTGGGGGGGGGTACCCAGCGTTGGGATAGGGAACGCCACCCTCCTCGGGCCATTCTCCACACGAACGGGGCACGGTTTCGGCCGAGGGGGTGTCCTCCCCCCTTGTTGGGCAGGTTTCGGCGGTCGTCGTCCCCGGAGTAATAGCTGCCACCGTCTTTTTCATTTTGTTTGGTTTTGTTTTGGATGTTTTTACACCCTGTGTTAGTTAGTCCCCGTTGTGTCCTATTTAGTTTTGTTTGGGTTTGTATGGTGTTTTTGGGGTGATTGCTCCCCTGTTTGGGGTTTGGGGCTTATTCTTCCCTCCGTGTTTGGGGGGTTTTCGCACATGTTTTAGTGCGCCTTTGTTTGCGCCCTTGGCCTTTTTGCCCCGGGTTTATTTTCTCGTTGTACTCGGTTTGGGAAAACTCCCACTTTTAGCGGACCAATCACATCAAGGGGCCTGAGAGAGGACAATGTGAAAACGAGGGGTTAATACGGTAATCAGGAGGGAGTCAGCAACCTAGACGTAACCATATGTTTACTCTCCATCAAGGACCTTTGTACACAGCCCCCACAAAAAACCGCGGGCTCAGCTTCTAGGCAGGGCAGTAGAGGGCAGGTTCGGAGTCGAGGAGCCAGTGGACAGACCCGATCACAACCCTGTACAGAAAGACCGGGCCTCACGTGCGGTGGGTGAGTCACTGGTAGGGCCTTCTGGCGCACGGCAATCAGTGGCTGGAGGTGGACAGCGTTCCACGTGTTCGTCTGCGAGCTGAAACCAAGTCATCCAGCTGCAAGGAGCCTAGGATCTGTGATCATCTGATGCCACGGTGCCAGAACCGAGGGCTGATACCCAATAAGAACACATAGAATAGTGGTGAACATTATTAGTGGAGAGTGGCGAGGAGGAGAGTTCTGGCATATCGTCGCCATGGGCGACAGAACAAGAAAACCGACCAAACTCCCAAAACCAACCCCCCCCCGCCCCCCCCGGGCCGTAAAAAAAGTCCTGGCAGTAATAGTAACTTGCGGAACCTAACCCACATCCTAGATATGCAACGCCGTTCCAACCTGCCCCATTACTCTCGGGGTGGAACCCAGAGGTCAGGCTGACCGAGACCCCAGATGTTTCCATGAGCGCATCTCCAGACCTAGACGTAAACTGGGGACCCCCGGTCAGGACACTATGTCCTCTGGCACCCTCCGCCGTAGTGCCGGAAGACGTTAAGTAAACAAGGTTTCAGCAGTTTGTAGGTCCGTGGGG